CTCTCGATCGCTGCTTGGGTTATGCAATATTGCACGCAACTATGTTAGTCCACTTGAGGCCCATCGCGACCCAACCTTATTCAACACTTTAGTTGGTTACTAGATACGAGCCTGACATCTCCCATCTGCGCGTTTTTATTTGTACAATCTATGTGTTAATTGCACTGTCCTTACATACACAAATGGGTCCTCAAAGAATGATGAGAGTCTGTGTTGGTTATGATTCTCCTTCTATCATTCGTTACTCAGAACCTTTGACAAACAATCTCTTTACCGCTCATTTCATGGGTTGACACTTCTACGAAATAGTCTTTCTGTCGTTGAAGGAGATAATAACGTCAATGTTGCAGAAAAATGACTCGAATTATCATGGATGACTTTCACTTTGTCTCATTTAGATTCATGCATTGCCCAGTTTGAGACTAAAGTACGACGTATCCTAAATCTTTAGACGTTGCTCAGAGTATATACCAGATGCTTTCATTGATCTAGCGAAAGTGAAGAGATCATATATACTAGCTGTAAACGTCTCTGCAAAGATGGATGTACCAAATGTACGACAGACCTTCATCCTAGAAGGCTAGGATGCCATTGCGGCCGAACCCTGTATATTGATAGCTAGCCAATCATCTACTCTTACCTAGAGGCATGTTAAACTTATAGATTAAAGAATTCACAACCTTAGAAGGGGAAAACCATGGTACATGCTAATGAGACTATTGTGAACCGACCATCGCCTACTCATTCTATCCAACGCATGAGGAAATTGTAGACCATAGAAGTGGCCTGAAAAAGATGAATCCACCTCCTAAGAATTGAGAGATTTCGGTCTATTATGCTAGTTTGGATGATGTTTGGAATAGAAATGAGATGATAATCAACAATGTGTTTGCATGTGCAGTAGCTACTGAGATCATGCTGAGCGATGACATTGAACCACGTTCAATTAATGAATGTAGATGGAGAATTGATTGCTCAAACTCCAAACAAGCAATCCACGTCGAACTCGATTCTCTTGTGAAACACAAGATGTTTGGGCACGTAGTTCCTACATTGTCACATGTGAAGCCCATTGGCTACTCGTGGGATTGATTACGACAAAACGTATTCTCCCATAATGGATGTGATTACGATTCACTACCTTATCAATTTGGTTGTGTCTGAAAAATTGGATATGCAACAAATAGACGTGGTAACCGCGTATCTCTATAGGGATCTTGATACGGAGATCTACATGAAACGTCAAGCAAAGCTCGTTTGGTGGATATTTATTCACATCATTATTGGGTTTTTGACACAGATTGCAGATTTAGCCAATGAACTCTTTTGTTGGAGAGATATTTCAACGTGACCGAAACACGGGGTGGTACATCACATGTCCTTATACAAATGGTGGAATATGTGTGTTAAAAAGTTAATAACTTAAATATTATAAATTTCCACCACTTATATAAAAATATGTGGTATACTACTCTTGTTTCGGTCACAATAAAAAATTTCTCCTTTTGTTAGGCAATATTTCCTAGCCGACGAATACCTAATTTTTTGGGCAAACCGTCTTTAGTTGTGCGCCATTTTTTTCCAATTCCAAACAAGATATGGTCTTAGACCGTATGCCATAAATAAAGGATAAGATAAAAGTGATATTTCAGTGTCACGTAATTCATGTATGATACATCTCTTCTTCGTCCACACTATTGTAGACTTGAAATAGCATATATATGAATCATTGGGTCGATGTGATCCTTGAGCTGGCGTATATATAACTTCCATAATCATTTATATCATGAATGTAAAGCTAGACTTCCATTTCTAATGAGTATCTCTGGAAAAGAAAAAGAAAAAAATGTAATTGAGTGAAATTTGAATGACATATTTCAACAAGTACTCCTGTTGTTATTTATGTCGAGATATAAATTAAGAAAATCAAATAGGAGAACTGCACTTGGACTTTTAGCTCAATATCATAGATTTATTCTTTACGTTTTGAGCAGACAACTAGATCTTGAGGGGCTAAGCATCTGCCTGATGTATAGCTTATAGGCCTTTGGGCACATTTACATAAATGAGTTCTTCAGGCCCATGATATCTAACTCCTGCCATCGTGCCTTTCTCGTCTTAAGGAGGCAGGAGTTGACACTTCAGAGTCTCTTAGATGTCCCCAGGCCTTCCACCAGGGACTTTTCGTAGCTACTTGCGAAGTGTAATCTTCACTGCATTGGTATATAGAACATAGTGGTCTACCTAGTATGGCCTACGGCCTCACCTGTTAGCAACTTGCAAGGGGTAATAGCTAAGTCGAACAAGGAGATCTGGTCACTTACTACTCAGAACTCTCTCTGTTCTAGTTTCTCTCAGACCATTTCTGACTTAGGCATCAAAGACCCTTTGGCAGAGACCCTCCCTTTTTCTCAAGTGTTAATCTATTAGACTAACAATGTTGCTTGTTTTATAGGTGTGATTTCGTCAATCCTGGAATTTGCATCCACCATATACATATACACTATTAATTGAAATTTTAAACTAAAACCAGATATGCTGGTCATCATATTGTTATAGCTGCTGTATTCCACAATCGGCACGCTCACATATTCAAAGGAACCCGTACACATATATGTAGTCATACAGCATTATGGCTATGACGATCACATAAAGGTTCTTTGGCATTAGTAAAAAAGGTGTATTCAATTTACCGACTATTGCCCTCATGAAAGGTGTTATAGGGTGCTCACATGCATGTCATAACAGCACTTCATAATTGTTATTTAATCATTATAAGAAGTGATTAGTGTAATTAAGTATATTTTACCTAGGTAAAGACAATGTCAAATGCACATGAAGTACGAGTTACATAAACTTGAATTTGGTCAATGGAAATAGGGTGCATTTTTGCTCATCCACATTAACTGTGGTGTATACTCGTCACACATCTCTAAGCCTACCAAGTGTCTTCTTACTTGACTCTAGTTAAATTGCTCTTTATTAATTTTTAAAAGAATTGAAAAAGAAACAAAATATACACAAAACCCAAAATACCCAATAGCCACCGCATCCACCCAAACCCATCTCGCCGCGGCACCACCTATTCGCCTCCGGCCAACCCTTACTTTAGCGTTCTCTATCTCTTTCTTCCCCCCTCCCATCTCTATCTCCTCTCATTATTTACCAAGACTCGTTTCTAATAATACTTGACCATATATTATGACTAGTGGCACTCTAAATTACAAAGTTTATCGAACTCTCTACAATATGTGAACACTCAAACTCTTTCTGAGATGCAAAATGACTCACTTGATGTCTTGTGTTAACTAATTGAATAAGATGTATAACCTACCCTTTAAAACTTTATCCCTTCAACCCACCCTTCAAACTTTCTCACAACTCTCTTTTTTAGTAGAGCGATAGCGTTAAAGGGTTAAATAATTAGTTGTTAGGAGAAAAAAAAATGGTGAAAAATTGAACCTACAGTCGGTGCATATATAGGTATGGTTGCTTTCTGCCATTGGAGTAAAACGCGATCTGCCACTCTTAAAATATTATTAATGTTGTTACTTAACTTTCATATTTTGGGCTTATATAATTTTTTTAATAATGATATATTTGTCACATAGTATTACAGTTTAGTAGTATTTATCTTAACTTGTATATGACACAACGTAGGTTTGAATGTCGTGAATGACAAGTTCTATACCAATTTATTCACTCCACCTCTTGGTGTAAATATATCGTTATAAAGAATATAATAAATTTACCCTAAGAGGTGGGAGATTTGGGTTACGCCACATAAATGAATTAGGCATATAATTTGGTATTGAACCTAAAATTCAAGAGCCGAACTCAAAAACTCTTACATACAAATAAAAAGAAATATCACCTAGACCGTAACATTTGATACTTTCAAATAAACAATACTTTCAGATAAAATATGTAAGAGGGCACTTTCTATATTATAACTCATCTTATATAAATCTTCTCATCTTCTTGAAGTTGCAACTAGTATTATTTGGGTACAGGGACTTGGATTGTCTGCCCTCCCCATCTCATACCCCTCCCATCCCTTTTTATTTCTGTGGTCACGGTTAAGTCATGTCAACATTTTATATTCTCATCGCTTTTTGTCTTATTATTTCTATAAAAAAAATTAATATAAAATGTTAACGTGGCTTAACCGTGACCACAAAATATAGGAAGGGATGTGAAGGGTATGGGATGGGGAGGGTAGACAATCCAGATCATATTTACAGATGTAGACCTATACATACATACATATATATATATATATATATTTGTAGCACGTACCAACTTTACTTACTAGTTGTACGTTACAACTACAAATAATGATTCATGTGAGGACTAGGATTCTCACATCTCCTCTTCCCATCCATTTCCATCCCCTTCTATCCCCTCCTCTCACATTATCTTATTTTGTCTTTCTCTTACTATAAAAAATTAATATAAGATGTTGACGTGCCTTAACCGTGACCGTTCAAATAGGAGGGGAGGAAAGGGGAGGGAAAAAAAGAGGGGAGAGAATCATACTCAAGAACCTAATCGTTGATCTGTACCAAACCAATGTACCCCACATTCTCTGACAAGTTACTCAGTTTTAACATATTTTTGGGAAAATAATCCTCTCTGGATTCCTTCCATCAATTCATCCTATCAATCAATCTGGATCCTTAAAATTTGATCTAACAGCTAAAAACAGAGAGCCTTTTAAAAAATTATAATAACTTTAACTGTTGGATCAAATTTTAAGAATCCGGATTGATTGATAAGATGGATTTGATGGAATGGATCGGAGAGGAACCCTTTCCATGTTTTTGGGTACTACTTTTTTTAGCTAATAGATGCTCTTGTATGTGATTTGACTCAAGAGTTTGTATTTCACGTAGCTAAGCTACCTGCTGCTTCAAGCCATGCACAAATCTCAATGTTTTCTATACATGTGTGTGTGTAGAGAGAGAGAGAGAGAGAGAGAGAGAGAGAGAGAGAGAGGCTTAATTTATAAGGCAAACAGTCAATTAAGCTGTCCTTAATTCCTTAAAAACAGTAGTAATTGCCTCACAGGGAACATAACAATCTACCTCTGTGAGTAAAATGGATCTCAAACTTTACAAATGTACCCAAACCCATTTTATGTTAATGGGTTTCAAGTTAGGGTCAATAATCAAACATCTCAAAAGGGTGGAAAACCAACCTCCATTCACAACCCCCAAAAGAATAAAAGTACAAAAAAAAACCCCAACAAATTAAGGTCAAGATTGATGAAAAATGAAGAAAAAGATGTTAAAAAAAAGAGAAGCTATAGCTATCTATAGCTAAGCTTCATCTTGGTCATCTCTTCTCCAAGAAAATCCCATACGCAAATCTCTTGACCTTAAAAATATGCAGTGATATCATCTCATGAGCATCGACGTTAGGGATCGAAAAACGACTTCTTCGCAAGGGATGGTGAGGCCCATGTCGTGATCGAAACCGAATTCCTCTTCGGCTTGGCGGAGGAGGCATTGGAACTGAGGATGTGTCAAAAACGAGATGGGAACAATGTACCTTGTTCTGTTCTCGCCAACATAAACTGGGAAATGGCCTTTTGGGACATCGATGGGAAGACCATCTTCGTCGTAGCCATGTTTCTTTCCCAAGCTTGAGCATCTTTTCAGGATTTGCTTGAGCACTGCGGTTTGAGCCAGTTTGTTCGTTTTTCTGATGCCCATTTCCTTTTTCTTTGTTTTGTGTTTTTGGTTTGTGGTGTTTGTTTTGGGTAAAGGAAATGGGGAAAAGGAAGGATAAGAGAGTGGAGTTGTAGAGAGCTGCTGGTGGTGAAGTGAGTGAAGGGTAACCGGGGTATTTATGGGGAGAAAGAGAGAGAGTGGTAGGTCATGTGGAGTGTGGAGGAAAGGACATACCACGGGTGTTTTGCGGTGTGTATGTGTGCAAGGACATGGTGGGAGCCAAGCCCATTGGGTTTACTCTTGCATGTTGACCCTCCATATGACAACATGGACCCTCTCTTTCTCTCTATTTCCTGATGGAAAAAAATTATATTTTGGACGAAGATATGCCATTCTCATTATTTCATAATTCAGGCGAAACAATTACAGTTGTATTATAATGTTTGAATATTAAGAATTGATGGCAAATATTAAAGGGGTTATTTTGGAATAAATTCAAGAGGCCCCCAATTAAAAGAGACTTAAAAAAAACATGGATAGCCAACATGATCTAGTTAGTTGTTACTGTATTAGTGGGTGAGACATGCCTTAAACTAAGCAAATGAATGCATCCAAATATTAAAATCATCCACACCAAAACTCAATAGATTGAGATGGCACTCCAAAATCAAAGAAACTCAATTCCTAATGAAAAACTTAAACACTTTGCAGTTCGGAACTTGAAAGATTCTACGAAAAAATTTCAATATTACAAACACGAGAACAATCTTTGACAACGATCAGTGCCAACTCTCAAGAGAAACTGACATGGAATTAACTAGTGTCCATATCCCATGAATTTTGTGCTCATCATCGTCAAAATACTCATCAGGAAAGAACTACAAATAACCTCACCAAGAAGACACTTATGGACGAGAAATATTAATTAAGTAATAGATTTGCAACAATTCATATGAAGAGAAAAGAAAAAGGCTAACAAAATGGGGAGAGAGGCTGTTATCGGCCCCAATCCAGAGTTTGAGGCCGGTCTATGAATTTTTTAGATCTAGGATTTTAGCAAGGGAAGGAAAGATCGGCTATTGGAGAGTTATAGACAAATTTTCTAAATACTAAATAATAGGAATTTACAAATGGTATGTAAATTTTCCATGAGAGTTTAAAGCTAGGAAGGTAATCCATTTTTTCCTAGCCTTCAAAATAGATCAACAAAGAATCAACCGACAAAGATGTGGGTTTGTTTTTTTCCCTCAGTCCTTTTGCTTTCCTTTCTCTATTTTCTCTTGTGCTCAGTTGGGTGCTTCTCTTTTAAGCCTCAATGCTGAAATCCTAAATCTCCATCTCTCTCCCTCCTCTCTTTTTCTCCACCCACCAAAACCATTTCTCAGCCTCCATCTCTCTCCCTTATCTTGGGCTACCTTTGTTAGGCATTCCTCACTTTGTAGTGTCTTTCTATTTTAATGTATTCTGTTGAGATTTTCCATTCTTTTCTCTTTACCTAAACTCACGGACCGATAATTAGGGTACTATTCAGTACAGTCCAGTGGATGGTTTGGCCTTTTCTGATTGTTCGACAACCTGGTCTGGTGATTCCGTGTACTACCTCTACCCCACAGATAAAACAACTCTCTCTCTCTCTCTCTCTCTCTCTCTCACAGCGAACATAGCAAACTAACATTTTTACAGAAACCCATGTGTAATTTACTGCTACTTATGCATCTTTCCATCATACTTTGGTGCCCATGCTTCCTGAGGAAGCTGATAATACCAAAAATCAAACAAACTCATGCCTCAAACATTTCCTTACTTTCATGATTACAATATCTAATCTTTTTTTCACGATTGTTTAATTAACTTAAACTCAACCCAGACACGTATACGTACATAAAAGTGTAGGATTGGTAATCTAACACCAGCACAAAATGACACTATGATAATCCGCTCATACGATTCAAGTGGATACGTATATGTATTTGTTTATCACAGATATCAAGTAAACTCCATGTACGTATATATAGTTTCGTGTCCTACGTCCTGAACACAGATGTCTCTCTCATAAATCACAATTGAACGCCCTCTTCTAAATTGGTAGAAAGTGTTGACGAAGACAAAGAAGGTTGAAGGCGTTGATCAACATTGGTTGTAACTGAAAAGAAAAGAAGCATTGCTTTTTTGTTAAGAGTTTTTTATGTTTTCTGTTTAAACAAACTTCTAAAGTTGTACCAGCCATCTTACCTATGGTGCATATTCATTCTATCTTCTCAGATCTAGATCCTTTTCTATCCGTATAGGCGTTTACCTATTTTTTTGTTGCGTTACACTCTTGACACGCTTACGAACTCATAATTGAGTTATAAAACTAATCATTGCATGTAGTTATACAAGTCACCCAGCCGGCTCACTGACTCATCAAATTGCGCGTTATACGAGTAAGACCATCTTCAAAGAAAATATCAAATAATAAGAGTCAAATTACAATTAATGGTTGATTTGGCAATCTGAAGCCTTATGTCAAATTTTGTACTTTTCTAACCGAATTGTCAAATATTAATTTATTATTTAAATAGAGCTTTAAATGATAGTAATTATTAAAAAAATGTTGAAACAAAATTTTTATTGGTTGAAATGTTAGTGGAATAAGGGATCCACTATTAAAATGAATTAAAAATAAATTTGACATTAATGCCAAATTTAACATCAAATCACTAAGTCTTCAAATTCAATCAGCAAATAACATTTCAGTTGGAGAGACTTTTGATATCAAATATGTATAATGTCATTCCACCTAGGATTTTGACATCCCCTTTGGAGACGCTTTAACTAGTCCAAAACCTGACGAGTCATTGGCAATGGACCTAATGGTTAACATGACAGTGAAGTGCAGTATCTTAATAACGTAGAGCTTTCTTTCTGTGGTCCTGATGAAACTAGTCCCACCCGAAAAGAAGATTTGCAATGAGACGTAAATCTATTGCAAATGTACACCACTTATGCCTTCCTAGAGTCTGCATCCATTTCAGCAAAGGAACCCCTCCATGTTCGAATTCATACGGTGGTCCACAAGCTATGATTTAGTGGCCGATACGGTCATGTCCTGCATTTCTGTCTCTTCTTTTTGTGTCTTTCTCAACCCCAAACAAGTACATAATCCTTACGATCATAATTAATTATCACACTCACAAGCACCACCAAAAATGTAGGTTTACAGGGTGTAATTTTTTACCAACATAGAGCCAGTCCTTAGATTTTTGAGGCCGGGGCAGCTCCAAAAAATATGCACTAACATAACTCTCCAAATAAGTAAAAGTATTTCTGCCAAAGACTATAAGAGAGCGGTTTTAGTTATCTAGAGACGGTGTACTCTTTGATAAGCCTACTATTCCTTAGCTACGGTGTTTCTAGCAGACCTAGCTGAAACTCTTGGCTGAAACCGCTTTGGTGTTGCTAAGTGAATGTCGCCAAGAATGTCCTCAAACGGCTGGGTTCTTGATTTTAGAACTATTGTGGCTAAGTAAGTCGACCTGCCAATGGTGTGGCAAAGTAAGTCGACCTGTCAAAGAAAGTAACTATATATGAGGGCCAAGGTTGGAGGGTAAAATCTGTTGCAACAGGCAGCCCCTGATACAAACATACACAGGTATCAAATTACCGACGTACATGTCACCGTCTTTTGAAGAACCCCTCCCATCCCATGTTCTGTGAATGAGATTGATTGGGGGGAAAAAAGAACAAACAAAAACACAGGAGAGGGACTGTAAAGGCCCGCCACCATAGACCCACCAAAAATACGGTGCCCAGCAAAGCCAATAGTCATTTTATTCAAATTTTGGGGGTGTATACTTTTTCTTCTCATTTTTTCACTGATTGTGACTGTGGCTTGGTGTTGCACATGAAGGCCATGTTACTCTTGTCCCCAAAACTCTCCTGTAAAGACAACAATGTAAGGACCTGATGATGATCGCTGAGATGAGATCATTTTCAACTGCTTCAAACAGCCCTCTCTTTCTCTCTCTCTCTCTCTCTCTCTCTCTCTCTCTCTTCAATTATCCAGAAAAGATTACTTCAACTGTTAACCGTATATAGTTGGAATATCTTATGAGTATTTTTCCACTGGCTCTCTTGCTGAAAACCTAGTATCAAAATGAGGCCATCTTGAATATTTACCAAAAGATCCCAACTATTATTCTTTTATAGGTATGGGTAGAACAAGAGGAACTAAACCAATAATGAAAATGCAAACATCAAACGTAGCTCAGTTGGCTAGAGTAATGTGTTTCCGCCTTTGTAATTAAGTTGAATCATCTTCAGAGTAGTTTGGATCAGGTAAAAATATTGTTCGAATGGAAAAAAATAATGAACAAGGGCATTCACACCCATGTGGGTTGTAAGCAATTGCTTTGACAATGAAGCCTGGAGAGGCTGCATATGGATTTTGATGGTGGTGATGTCAGAATACATGGTCCCATGGGTTGTTCAATAAGAAGTTTAAAAATCATAAACATACTATAAATAAACAAATAGAAACATGATTAGTCAAAGGATATATATGAAATATGGTGTTATCCATATCCATGTGTATTTTCAAAGGATAGGATCAGAACACTAAGCACCTGATGGTGATGCCATCAAGATTTGTAAATTGCTGATATGAATTCAATCCCATGTGCACTGCAAGGGAAATAGTAAATGGCGAACAATATAGAGATAACTGACCATATCATTTGTAGGACACCTCTTACATAAGATCACTATGTATTTAGCCACCACATAATCTCATGTGATGTGAGAGCTGCCCTAGTTAGTTAGCCATATTGAACATTTTCTCTAGTAGAGGATGATAAAAACTTCAATACAGCTTCTGCACTATGACAACCGATACAAATAAGTGAATGAAATCAAATCAATGTATTAAAAGGCGAAGCTTCACGGGACCTAAAATTTTTAGTATATATGTTTTATATATTATATATAATTATATAGAATATAATACTATAAAATTTTTAGTATATATGTTTTATATATTATATATGGCACGCAAATGTTCTGCCCGCACCGAAGTTTTTCTCGTAGAAACACTGTAAAGTATGGGAAATGACATTGAAGTTGACATATAGCTAGAAATGAGATGTGCCCTATCTATGAGAAAATGAGTACTACCTACTCTATAAGAAGCCTAGATTCAGCCGGAGCTATGCAACTATGAAGAGAATTATTAGTTTGCACCTACCTCAGCAAACTTTGACAAGAACCCTGTGAAGGAGTGAGAGTTAAGAATGGTTCCTCATAGAACACTTGAGAATTAAAAAATAAAATTGATTCAGATGATATCTTAATTCCGAATGCACACTTTCAGATAACTAGCACAGACAAGTTGAACAATCAATAATAAGTGTCAAAGTAAACCAAAATTCTCACTTTTCTTGGCATAAAAGATATTAAAAGATACACCTTTTATGTTCCTCCTTTAAATTGTTTACCGATAGATGCCGCATTGCAAATGAACAAGACAACAAATTTACGTAAAAGAGAGATAAACAAAAAGGAAAATGAGAAAGTACAATAACTCGCCATAGCTGAGAATATACATGTAGGCACTACATTTGCGTGCCATCATGTGCATCTGCTGCGAGTAATTCAAATGTATCTACCCCGGAACCAATTTGGAACTGGAATCTTCATAAATCTGCAGGATAATGTACAGTCACTGGTCGGAGACAGAATTCACTTGTTTATTCTTACCCTCTAGAAGAGTCATCTCTCTTCGGAATTTAGCAATATGAGCTTGAACCTAATACAATGGCATTTGAAACCCGAGGTTAATAAAGTTCCTTGAGCATTTTCTATCACAATAAGTAATTTTGTTATCTCAACTAGAGTAACCAAGCTTATGGTATACATTACTGCCTACTAATGCATAAACATCAAATATGTTCAGATCTCTACAACATGTGATTAATCTTAATAAATCCTTACTAGTTTCAGGATTCATAACCTACTCAATTCCAACTTATTTCAGATTTCAATGGCTAATAACAATGAAATCACAAAGGAATTTGATTGTGATGAGTCAATGAACATAAAGAAACAAAATTAGGTATTTATCACAGATGCTTAGGCTGGTTCACGAATTTCAGAATAATTTAAACAACCACTATAGCAGTCGTGAGAATTACCAGTAAGAACTCATACAATTATGCAGAACGCAACAAATTAGTCTGCCCAAGGAGAATTTAAAGAAAACATATTCATTCCATTGACCGCCATACATATATGTTTCATGGAAGATGGTTGGCTCCGTGGGGCCGGGGGGGGGGGGGGGGGGGTGGGGTGGGGGGGCGGCGGGGGTGGGGCGGGGTGTGGTGGAGTGGAGTGGGTATAGGGGACATCCAAAATGAATGCTAGGCTGGACTCCCCTCAACTGACTTTTCCTAAGCCTTTTAACTCAATATGGCGTGTTTGCACTTCCAAAAGAAACTTTGGTGGAAATTTGGCGACCTACGAGACTATGAGTCTTCTGATTAGACCAAGGGTTACAAAAAAGTAGTGTGTACTTGCCTGCCATAATGCCAGTCCCTTTTTTTACTCTCCCTAGTAGTGTACATAAACATAGAACGATACCATGATCGAATGACTACAGATCTTTGCATACATTTTGCTCTGTTTGGAAACATGTTATCAGAATTCACTGGAAGAAGAAAGGTAGTCCTCCCTTAACTCATTTGAGAACCCAGTCGATCCATTCAACACATACTTAGGATGTGTTTGGGAAACTAAAGAATTAGTTTAAACCAGTTCTACGTAAAACCTGATAGTTAAAACAACTTATATATGAACTAGTTTTGACAGTTATTTTAGGTCTGCCTTAGCTCTAAAGTATGCTTCTAATAATAATAATTATATTTATCTTTGGAGTTTGAGTGCACATAAGTTCCACAGACCCACTTACAGTATTTGAGTACACGCTGATTTGTTCTCAATGCACTATCAGTTCCACAGACCCGCTTACAGCATTTGAGTACCAAAGACTGTTCAATTTAAACACGACCCTACTAAACATGGCTGGCTGGTCTTTGGGGTTTACAGAGCACGCCCTAGGATTCAAACATTGTACCCCTATATCTCTGGGGATATATTTAAACATCTGTTAGATTAGACATTATTACACTAGTTTACACACTACATGATTGACCAGATAGAGAGCTACCGTCTATTGGCTAAATGTTTTCGATTGACGCACAGTAATATCATACTCACAATTTTTCTATGAAATCGCTTTACAGCTCTTAGAACATGAAGCCGCCCTATTCATTTTCTCTAAGCATACTGGGCTCATGTTTGATGTTTTCTTCACTAACGTATCATGATGATTTTAGAGTTCATAATTCTCAAATATACATCTAAAGTTGCGCTAAAGACATGACTGCAAAATATGGATAGAATTCCATTCAATACATAAATGAGAAAGGGTGAAATACTTCTAATAATAATAATTATATTTATCTTTGGAGTTTGAGTGCACATAAGATTTTAGAATCCTAGACACTTTATATGCAATAAATTGCAAAAGGATTCAGCACAAAGAAATTAACTGTACAAATACATCAGTACATAATCTAAGAAACCACAGATGGTAAATTTTTTTCCACGAATACAGACTTCTTGACAGCTCTTCACGATCACAAAGTTTCAAGTTCCATAAATTATGTCTAGAAACTATGAGATAAAGTTATGCATACCTGCTGACGAGCTGCTGCAAGTTGTAGCAGCTCATCTGCTTCTGAAAAGTTCGTGAACCACTGGCATAGGAGATGATCTTTAGTGTCCCCTCTCTTTCTCTTACTTGGATCCTCAACTGGCACTACATGCAATGAAAAGGAATAATTTACAATCCACAAAATGATAAAGAGAAATTACAGACACAACAGCATAAATAATTTATACCAGGTGGAGGCAAAGCAACGCCAGCAGGTAGTCTTGGAACGACTACAGCTGGCTCATTCTGCACACGAGCCAATAAAGCTTCTGAAGGCTCAGGGAACACAATCTCATCATATGATTCCACAACAACGGGCTTTTTAGTCGACATAGGACCAGACTCATCCTCTGGGTACAACTTCAAATGATGAAATCTGTGAAAAAGTTCAAGATTAAATTCTCCTTGCAATGATGGGCAGGCATAGTACGAAATGTATGTTAAAATGAAAAACAGGTTGTTGGTTGTTTCTAATCAAATGTAAAATCAAATTATACCAATGCACGTAATAAATAATCAAACTCATTGTTTGAAAAATTCATCTCCCAATTAAGCATACTAGAAGGTTAAGTAAAATCTAATTTCCCCATTTCGTAACATATATGGTGCATATAAAGCAGGATGTGTCGTTGCAAGGGTTCTGGTGAATACTCAGATAGACAATGAAAATATCAATGTTGGAAATTAAAAGACGAAGTTGTTTCGGTCAAACTAGATTTAAATCTACTATTCCATTGTTGAGGACTTGGTAAAAATGCAAAGAACATAGACAGCATCAAACACAAAATTGGACAGCCAAGTGCCAAGTAAATCACGTAATTTATTATTCAAAGCAACTCACAAGTTTAATGGCTTATCACAAACATCACTGTGGAAGAAAAGCGTAATGGCGATTTCAAATTCACCCCAGCCACATTCTGACAATTCAAATGGTGGTGACTCAACCACCCTTGTGGGATTACTGAAACTGGAATGCAGCTGAAAAACAGCACGTTTTATCACCACTCCAAGATCCTCATTGGTTGCCCCACGAACGTACACAGTCCACTTGTGTGATTGGTACCTAGTTAAATGTCACGAACTTAACTCTCATATTCCATTCCTCATGTAAGTAATTCAACAAGACGATAAAGCAATACTTACTCGTTCGCCTTCTTACCGAGCCAGAATGCAATATTGCCATACACTATCGGAACACTAATCTCAACATCTTTGAGTTTCTTATGAAAAATCTACACAAAGTTACATGAAAAGCAAAACAATGAAAAAAAAACTACAATTTAAGTTCTAAACATAGACTCATAGTAGTAGCATATGCTCAAAACGTTTTTGACAGTTTTCCGGCGATCAGAATGATGGGCAACAATCCAAAATCAAAAACCAATTTTGAAACGATTTTTTTGAATTTTTTTTTTTAGAAAATAATGCCGACTCTCATGATCCATAACAGGGCAATCAACACATTATACAATGTGAAACAATATGTTGGAAAATCAAATCAAATCAATCTCAAAACAGAGTCTTGAAGTTGAGGATCAGAACAATTTCCAAAAGCACTTCTGGGTATTTGGGTATCCTTGTTTTGGTAAATTATGAAGTGGGTAATTGTAAAATTTTGAAATTGAACAAGAAAGTTACCTTCTTTTCACTGTCTTCCGGTTTGCCCATTTTGATGCGCAGGGATTTGGGGGAGGACCCACTTATTTCAGGTTGATCAGGACCGTGCATTTTGGAAGAGGAACCATTGTTCATGTCCTTCTGTGGTGCAATAGAGAAACGAGGGTTTCTTCCCGCGAAGTTGCAGAGTACCCTAGCTTTTCCAGGAGGGAGTTATCCTGTACAGCGTGCATTCAAGTTGGTCTGCTCATTCACCCAATGAAGCTGGGCCGTGTGGCGCGTAGTAAGGGCATTTCAGTCGGTCCACCAGTAAAAGGTTCTCCTCAAAAGACGAAAATGACCATATTTTGTGGGGATAACAATTAGGCCTGACAATTCCTGACACGACCTAATAATCTGACACGACATGATATAAAATTAACAGGTGTTCAGATCGACACGATAACGAATATGGTCATTATCGGGTAATCCAATAAGCACCTGTTAAGATAACGGGTTGATTCAGGTATACACGTGGGTAACACAATAAGCAGAATATTATTTTTTTAATTTTATAATCCTCAAAAAATACTGTAATAATTATATATATTAATTTAACAATTTTATACCCCAAAAAACTATAATATATATATAACTTTTTATCACACATATGACATATCTCATTATTTTTATAATGACTCACGTGATATACTACTCTGTGTACCAATCAATTATACGTACAAAATAAATAGATTTAAATCTACTTAATATATATACACACACACACACATACACACCATTGAACTTGATGGGATACGAATTCTCTGAAACTAATTTCAACAATCCCAACCATCAAACTTGTTTGTATATGCTTCGATATCACATCAGCAAAAAATCGCAAAACACAAACATTCAAAGATCAAGTAACGGGACAAAGCTTTTCGACGGTTATAAACCAAAAATCACGATTTAACGGTTATTTTAACTTCGATTTTGATGATTTTTTACAACTACACTCATTGACTCTATATGAATACAATGAATGAATTTGATCTTCAATTTAAAATATTTGCACAAGTGGATACCACAAAATCTTATGTTATACTTGATGAAAGTATAAATAAACTCTTAAGTGTTAGTCAATCTATTGTTTTTATGGGATACAAATTCTTCGTAACTAATTTCAACGATCCCAACCGTCAAACTTGTTTATATATGCTTTGAGATCACATCAGCAAAAAAATCACAAAAAACAAACATTCAGAGATCAAGTAACGGGACAAAACTTTTCGACGGTCATAAACAAAAAATTACGATTTAAAGGTTATTTTAACTTTGATTTTGATGATTTTTTACAACTACACTCCTTGACTCTATATGAATACAATAAATAAATTCGATCTTCAATTTAAAATATTTACACAAGTGAATACCCCAAAATCTTATGTTATACTTAATGAAAATATAAATAAACTCTAAGTGTTAGTTAATCTATCGTTTTGATGGGATACGAATTATCCGAAATTAATTTCAACGATCCCAATCGTAAAACTTGTTTGTATATGCTTCGAGATCACATCAGCAAAAAATTACAAAAAACAAAAATTTAGAGATCAAGTAACGGGACAAAACTTTTCGATGGTTATGAACGAAAAATCACGATTTAACAGTTATTTTAACTCCGATTTTGATGATTTTTTACAACTACACTCCTTGACCATATATGAATACAATGAATGAATTTGATCTTCAATTTAAAATATTTACACAAGTGGATACCACAAAATCTTATATTATACTTAATAAAAGTATAAATAAACTCTAAGTGCTAGCCAATATATCGTTTTGATGGGATACAAATTCTCCGAAACTAATTTCAACGATCCTAACCGTTAAACTTGTTTGTATATGCTTCGAGATTACATCAGCAAAAAATTGCAAAAAATAAACATTCATAGATCAAGTAACAGGACAAAACTTTTCCACGGTTATCAACGAAAAATTACGATTTAACGGTTATTTTAATTCCGATTTTGGTGATTTTTTACAACTACACTCATTCACTCTATATGAATATCATGAATGAACTCGATCTTCAATTTAAAATATTTACACTAGTGGATACCACAAAATCTTATGTTATACTTAATGAAAGTATGAATAAACTTTTAAGTGTTAGTGAATTCATCATTTTGATGGGATACACATTCTACGAAACTAATTTTAACGATCCAACCGGCAAACATGTTTGTATATACTTCGAGATCACATACACCAAAAATTGTAAAAAACAAACATTCAGAGATCAAGTAATGGGACAAAAGTTTTCGACAGTTATCATTGAAAAATCACGATTTAACTGTTATTTTAACTCCGATTTTGATGATTTTTTACAGCCACACTCCTTAACCCTATGTGAATACAATGAATGAACTCGATCTTCAATTTAAGATATTTACACTAGTGGATACTACAAAATTTTATGTTATACTTAATGAAAGTATGAATAAACTCTTTAGTGTTAGTGAATCTATCATTTTGATGGGATACGCATTTTACGAAATTAATTTCAACGATCCAACCGTCAAACTTGTTTGTATATGCTTCAAAATCGTATACGCTAAAAATCGCAAAAAAGAAACATTCAGAGATCAAGTAAAGAGACAATACCTTTCGACGGTTATCAATGAAAAATCACGATTTAACGGTTATTTTAACTCCTATTTTGATGATTTTTTTACAGCTACACTCCTTGACCCTATACGAATACAATGACTGAACTCGATCTTCAATTTAAAATATTTACACAAGTGGATACCACAAATCTTATGTTATATTTAATGAAAGTATGAATAAACTTTTAAGTGTTAGTGAATCTATTGTTTTGATGGTCACATTCTATGAAACTAGTTTCAACGATCTAACCGTCAAACATGTTTGTATATACTTCGAGATCGCATACGCCAAAAATTTCAAAAAACAAACATTCAGAGATCAAGTAATAGAACAAAACTTTTCGATGGTTATCAACGAAAAATCACGATTTAACGGCTATTTTAACTCCGATTTTGATGATTTTTTACAGCTACAGTCCTTGACCCTATATGAATACAATGAATGAATTCAATCTTCAATTTAAAATATTTACCCTAGTAGATAACACAAAATCTTATGTTATACTTAATGAAAGTATACATAAACTCCAAATGTTAGTGAATCTATCGTTTTGATGGGATAAGCATTCTTCGAAAATAATTTCAATGATCCAACCGTCAAACTTGTTTGTATATGCTTCAAGATCGCATACGTCAAAAATCGCAAAAAACAAACATTCAGAGATGAATTCGATCTTCGATTTAAAATATTTACACTAGTGGATACCACAAAATCTTATGTCATGATGATCGATGAAAATTGAGGATTTTGTAAAAGGAATAACATACAAGCTTTGAGTTCTATTGGCAAGGTTTAAACTTTTGAGAAAAGCTTCACAACCTTGAAAACAAAAACTCTTTCATTTTGCATATCCTTGCACATTTAATATTTTGTAATAGATTAGTAATGTATTGATGTTTGTTTATTAGGCTCTTATTTTCAAGTGTAGATGTAGTACTTAAATAACAAATGTGTTTTAATGTTTTGAAGTAATATTTATGTGGCAATGTGTGGTATGTGCAAATTTAAGGAAAAAAAAACATTTTTCTTAACGGGTTATAACAGGTCGGAACCTGTTAAGAACCCGTTAAGATAACGAGTGTGACACGACACGACCTGTTAAGATAACAGGTGTTATACGAAAACGATATGAACACGACAGATACGACTCATTTGCTAGGCCTAATAACAATGAACTCACCATGATGAGTATGTCATTTTAATCTCCATCCTCCTTTAGTAATTTTCTTCCAGCCCTAGTCCATTTAGGCTATTTCCAACCGAAGAGTCTAGAAGGTCAGATGGTCGAAAATAGTCCGAAAATCGTCTCCAACCGAGGATTAGGCCAGAGGGCTATGGAATCTGAGAAGGCCCTACAGAATCGGAGAGGGCTGGAGGGCCAGCCAACCAGCCTGGGGTTGGCCAGAAAAATCATTTTTCCTGTCGGTTATAATCGACAAGAATGCTCAAGAAAAAAAATTCAAATGCAACGGCTTGCTGACGTCAGCTAGCCGTTGCATTTGAATTTTTTTTTCAGTTTTATTATTATTTTTTATTTACAAAATTTTTCCTATAACTTCTATTTTTCATATTTTTTTTTAAATTCTATTTTTTTCCTATAACTTTTATTTTACAAAATTTGTTTCATATTTTTTTTAAATTCCATTTTTTCCTATAACTTATATTTCACAAAATTTGTTTTATTTTATTTTAAATTCTATTTTTATCCTATAACTTCTATAACTTCTATTTCACAAAATTTGTTTCATATTTTTTTTAAATTATATTTTTCTTCCTATAACTTCTATTTTATAGTTTTTGTTTCATTTTTTTTAAATTATATTTTTTCCCTATAACTTCCTAAGCCATTATACAACATTAAATTAAATTAAGCAACATGAAACAACATTAAATAACATTAACCAACATACAAATTATACAACATAAAAAAAACATTTAACAACATGAAACTTAAACAACATTTTAAAAAACATTTAACAACATAAAACTTAAACGCTTACTCCATGCTTCTTTTGGCCCAAAGATGTGCAACAAGATTATGTTGTAGGTACTTGTTTGTGGTACGAGAACGTATTATTCTATAGCGTCTCATGTACTCATTTACAGAGATACTACCAGTTCTTGAATTGAAAGGCAAATTAGGCCCATCATTTATTTTTGCACGAGCCTTTCTTGACCTATTTGGATCTTCTTGGTCGTCATCGGACTCTCCATCAATATACCCATCTCGCTTATCATCCATTATCATATTGTGTAATATGATGCAAGACATCATGATGGAGTCCAAATTTTCTCGACTCCACCCTCTTGCCGGTTCACTAATGATCTTCCACCGTGCTTGTAGAATACCAAAAGCTCTCTCAACATCTTTCTGGAATGCCTCTTGATGTAAGGTAAATAACTTTTCTGCGTCATTCCTAGGGTTTGGAATTGCTTGGACAAGTGTCACCCACTTTGGGTAGATGTCATCTGCCAAGTAATACCCCATATTGTATTGACGGTTGTTGATGTAGTAGTCAAGTTGAGGTGCTTTACCTTCCATCAAGTTATTGAAGAAGGGTGAACGC